AAAACTGCTCCCCTTCTAAGCTTACATGGTAACCCATTGACATCAAAATTCATGACATACGTTAAAACTCTAAGAAGATTTCAAATGAGGCAGTGGTTGCTGGTCCTAAGCCAAAACATACCGGTACACATAATCAAAAGACTGGGACGATGGAAATTGTCACCACATACCACAACCAGAGGGGAAAAAAAAGACAAGCCTTAAAAGAGTTAAGTAGTACTGTTGCCTCTGCATGTCCATTGTAACAATTTCATACGTATTAAAGTGGCATGGTTAAATATCCTTTTTGCCCATTTTATTTACAGGCCTGTCTGAACATTTGGTTTCGGCACACCCCAACCGACTTTAGTTAATTTCCAAGGTTTAACATTAATACGGAGTAATTAATTAATACTTTTTTCCCTGACCACAAATAAATAGAATATATATCTATATCAAATTAAAGCCCTTTCTGTCCTTTGAAAAAAAAAACAAAAAAACCTGTAAATAAGTTGGTGCAATAAGTTAGTAAAATGGAAATTGCAGTTGTACACAAAAAAAAAAAATGCACAAATTGCTTGTGTCATTAAGTGCAAGACAAGCATTTGAAGCTGTGTCCTTAAGGGGTTAATGAAGCAGTTTTGATGTATAGATCATGCCCCTGCCGTAGACATGCGCAATTCATTTAGTTCCAAATGTACATTCGGATGCTTCAGAATGTCCGAAGTTCGAATTGCTTTGGATTTCTGAAAAGTAGCAAAACATGTGGTTTGGGTCCGAATTACCGAATGCCATTGGACCGAATTGCCAAAACAGACAAGTTGTTTTCTTACCCAAATTGCCAAACCAAAAATTTTTTGCCCATGCACATCCCTACCCTGCAGGCTCACTGCTCAATTCTCTGCCATTTAGTTGTTAAATTTTGTTTGTGACTAAGTGGCTACTAAAAAAGACTGGACATTTTCAATACCTTGGGTTGTCTACTATTGCAAGTGGTATGCCATCATGGGGGTAATTCTCATTTTTGGGCTACCATACGGTCTCAAAGGCAACATAACCAATCTGGAAAATTTAAATGTGAAAAAACTGAAACGCAAGCCTTATATTTGACTCTCTAACTTTTTAAACCACCATAAAACCAGTGCAGGAGGAGTACGGATTCACACTGAAGACCTCGCCGAACAGTGTTTCAAAACAGTAAAACGTATCACAATTATATCGTATATATTATAAGATGTATACATAATATACGTATATTTCTTTTAAACATGTTGAATAGTTTTTTTGTTTTTTACACCTCCCACCAGCAGGGGGAATGTGACAGCCCAGACCAGGGGTCCTCAAACTCCGGCCCCCCAGATGTTGCTGAACTAAAACGCCCATGATTCTTTGAATTACATAGATATAGAATCATGGGTGCTGTAGTTCAGCAACATCTGGGGGGCCGGAGTTTGTGGACCCCTGGCCCAGACAGACAGACAGACAGACAGACAGACAGACAATCTCCCTGCTGGCAGATCCACAGCCAGCTATAGGGGGCCCATGTGATTGCTCTTTGAGAGCAATCACATGGCCCCCGGGGTCCTGACTTGCCGTGGGAGGGCTGCCTGGGCTGTCAAGCAGTCCTCCCGAAGCGGATCACAGGAAAGTTAAGTATTCCAGAGGCTCCAGGGCAGCAAGCAGTTACGGCGTTCTAGGGTTAAGGACTGAGCCAATTGTACAAGGTCTGATCAATACAAAATGTAAACAAAACCTAAAATTTGTGCTATGTGTCTGTCCAACCGTAAGTCAACTGTTTCATATCAAGTACATCCACACTTGTATATCATTTTATTCAGGAAAAACAGGGCTTTCATTTATCAGATATTTAGCTATGAAACAATATGAATAAAATATTTTTTTTTTTTAAAGTGAGAAATTAAGTGTTATTTGTTTTAGTTCTGCATGGAATTTTAACTGTGAATGTCATACTTTTAACTGTTCTGCAATTAAGTACACCTATTTGTATTAAGCAATGTCTTACGAGTAAAACAGTAACAGTAAATATTAGGGTTTCAAAGCAGTAAAACTTATCACAAGATCGTCTGTTAAAGTGCAGTTTGTGTGATCACATGGCCCCGATTGAGCAGGGGGAGGGGAGGAGGGAGGACTGGGCTGTCATGCATCCCCAAAATGGATCACAGCAGAGACAAGTGTTGGGCAGGCTCTGAGGCTGAAAGGCGTTCCATGCCACCTCAACGGCTTTAAAGCCCATCATAATGGGGACGGCATGGGATGCAATAACAGCGTTACTTTAATATTTCCTATCTCCTGCACTGTCAGCAGCTTGCTAGACCTTCCAGTGTGTGATTAAAGTGAACATGATTGAGCATGAAAACACAGCCAGGTGAGGTGTAGTAAGGGCTACAATCAACAGAAAACAAAAGTGATTTAACTACTACATGGCAGAGTATTGAGTAATGAGACTTCAGGAACATAATCTATACACAAAAACTGCTTCATTAAGTTGTTTTGGTGACTATAGCATCCCTTTAAGTCCTTGTCTTGGGCAAGTGGAACTTCTGACCAACAAGCTCCATTGTCAAGTCAATTGAAAATATGTATTAAAGAGACAGGTTAAACTAAATTTCTACAGGTAGTGTTTGAGTGTAACAGCAGAGTGTTAAGCATTTTGAGAGGAGGCCAGAAATACCCCTACACCCGTTCGATACATACCACGGAAATGGTATGAAGTTCTGTAATGCAGTTTTAAGCAGTTTAGGAATTCTAGTATTTCTGTGGTTTGACAGACACAGATGGTATAAATAATGTTTTGTAACAATAATTAATGCCCAATCCACACTAAATAACTATTTGCTATGATTTCCAGAATCTGCCTTGCACCACGATCAAAGCAGACATCATGTGACTACACTTTAGCCAGCAATGCAGAGCAGATGTGTTTTTATCTGTTCTTATTAACGTTAACAGTGATCAGATAATGCACACCTTCAGAAAAAATAAAACCACAAAAATGGTCAAATACATGATTGTGACGAGACCAATCTCGCCACATTGCATTGGAGAAGCCTGGTTGCTCGCCTGCTGCCTCTGGATTATGGCCTCCTTTTAAAAGACTTTATTTTGCCTGCAGAAAAGCTGTATTCGTGATTTTCTGCCGGTTGTTCGGTAGATTCAATCTACCGAACAACCGCACGAATGAACAGACCACCTGGGAGCTGGAGTGTGCCGGCAATTAACCTCCCTGAAGCTGTGGTTAACCGCAGCTTAATTGACGAATACTGGGTGGCCGCCATTCGTATCCCGAACACGAGGTCGCGGCCATTTTAAACATACGAATGCACAGCGGTGTTCGCCCCTATTTTCATGGAACTAAAATCGGACACAGTTTTGCGCGAACACCGCTGAAGCCGCTGACCTCCCTTCTTGTTCGGTGGAAGTGCACGAACGGCCCGGTGTTCGGTAGTTTTGTTCGAATGTGTTATACCCCAGATAGGAATCCCATGGAGCCCATTCGTATGAAACTGACTGTAAAGACTTTGGCTCCATGGCGATTAAACTGTATTCGTGTGGTCTGAGCGCCATTCGCTTAATAATGTGCGCTCAGACCTGAGCTATCTGGGGATATGTTACATGTCTGTGTTTTATGTAATAAATGTTACTTTATGTATTTTAAAGTATAATACTGGTTTTGTGTCCCCACGTGTGTAATGGAGTTTTTCCTTTGTCCTGGGAGATAATTGAATTACTTCTCCAGGGCAGAGGGGAGGAAGCCAGGATGCATTGTGGGGATGTTTCACTTCTGTATGTCTGTAATTGGTACATGTCTGTCTTTTGTTACAGTCTTCCATCTGGTCCCCTAGGGGAGTGTCCACCAGGTGGGAGACCTGCATAAATACTGGGCAGGTAGCCCTCATTAAACAGACCACTGCTTGACCCTCAACACGGAGCTTGTCTCGTCTTTGGGGGGATTTACTGTATGCTGCTAAGGACTGATTGCCAGGAGTGTAAGCCGCTTGGGAGCTTTTCCTGTTCGTCTGTTAGCAGCTATTCGTGAGGTTCCAGTTCGGGAGTTTGGAGTGCTACCTTATTCCCTTGTATGCAGTTCGGGAGTTTGGTGCATTCACTTGTATTCAATTCGTGAGTTTTGGGTGATTCTACAGTAGCTGTGCCTGTCTCTGAAAGGGGATTATCGTCTAAGCGGTTTTTTCCCCTTTTGTGCAAAACGGTCCGTTACAATGATCTCTATGTAAGTTGAGGTTTTTGATACTTTTACAGACACCCCATCCAAGAATGGCAGAGACCTTGCAAGCATGTGAAATTTTTCACCCAACACGTTCCAGACACTGGGCAAGACTTTTTTTTTTAATTTATTTTTTTTAAATATTACTACACCATTAACCCTGCCACTGGCAAGCAGCCGATCTACTGGGGAGGACAGGTCTGGGACAGCTTGAGATTTGCACCTTCGGTTGGTGCACAAATCAGTGGTTGCCTTGCAGTTCCACTTCTCTAGTTAGTCCGAGCACAGCCTCTGAGATTCCCAGCCTGCGCTTACTAAGTGCCAAGCCAATTTCAGAGGTGTGTATCTGACAGGTGTAACGTTCAGGCTCCAACACTATAGAGCCAAGGATCTAACACTTCTAGACTCCATAAAGTAAGAGCACGGTTACATTAAAGTACACATTTTACAGTCACCCCATGCACACACACTTTGTAAGAGAACAGACGGTGAGCCACTAAAATGTTTGCAAATTAAAATGAGACAAAAATAGCCAGTTGTTATTGTAGCAGAGTTAGAGACTTTTTAAAATTAAAACTCTGCTATTTTTGCCCCAGAGTAACCATTTAGATTTACCCTAGTAGAATTTGGAGCTTAGTGAACACTGCCAATGTCCAGATCATAGGATTCGCTTACATTTCAATTTGGAATTATGTGGGTCAGGGCAAGTATACTGGGAAACCAAAACAAGTAGTTTGTGTTTTAAAATATATATATTTATTTTTTTAAGTTTCCACACCCCTGCTTTGTGTTCTATGATTAAACCACTCCAGTTGCCATCCTTATTGGAGGAACAAGCAGCTTGTGTCAGTTATCTATATGAGGGTGGAGAAAGTGGTAGCGCAAAGCCCAGACTTACACTGTATAATAGCATGGAGCATATCAAATAAAGTATGCAGTATTCATTAGGCAACAAGTTCGTTTCTTCACTTATGATGAAGGGTTCCTGTAAATAATCAAGCCATGAGAAGTATGCAATGTACACAAAGGATTGCAGATCTAGGAATAGATGTTTTGCAGAGTCAGAACCTTGATGTAAAATGTTACTACAAGTTCGGAGCTGAGGTTAGCCTTGAAGTACATCTACATGATTAAGTTCATACTTCGACTTAAGGGAAAACAAAACCCCAAAAAACCCACACATTTATGCAAGACTGCAATAGCTTCTTCAAACAAAAGGTCATTATGTGGAGGCTGTTTGAAACAGATACAAATATATAGACCTATTCTCTACACCTCCAATAGGTTTAATTACGTGATACTTTTAACAAATAGAGATCTTGCCTTATAATGACATTCTCCTACTGTACTTAGATTTTGTGAGTAGCCAAATTTATGTCCTGTGAAACCAAGTTGATATGGATGAGCAAAAGCAGTTCAACTCCGTAGGAAGTTAGACAGGCCTTCAAGCATGTGACAGGTTTGAATTCCATATTCATCAATTGTCAGGGCTTAAAGAAACAGTCTAGTAAGAAATATGAACTTTTTTCCCAAAGCTAGAATGTTTAAACAATTCAGATTAGGCCCCAAAATCCCAATCAAAGTTTTGCTCACCTAATTTCCAGGCACTCGCAGTCAGGTTAAGGCAGTAATGTATGTAAGCCATGTTTATAAAAAAAATAAAAAAATATAAAAACACAAAAACACACAAACTTGTGGCCATCAAGTTCAGCCTAAACTTTGTAAAAAAAAAAAAAAAAAAATTGTAATAGTGAACAGAGCATAGTTAATGGTTGTTGTCAAAGATGAAGAATTGCCCTTTAACAGGATACTGAAGGAAACATTTTATTTCCTCAATGCATTGGAGTCTTCAGATCCTGTTTGTGTATTACCGTAGTTAAATCTACAATTAACTGTAAATAAAGCCCTCTCCACTTTACTCCATGCACAGAAAATGCTCTTCAATGCTACATTATGAATATCTGGATATTTTGCCCATTTCAAGTATCCAAATCGCAAGGATTTTAAGGGTTTAGCTTTCCGGTTTCCACTACTTTGCACAATGGTAGTTTACACAGCTTGCTCTATACCTCCCCATGATTCACAGCAGACTGTTGAAGTTGGTTTTGCCAGTAAGAGATTACAGTGTTAGATTAGCCAGTGTGATTTAATAAAACAAATACATTTTAGCATCTTTGTTACAGCTAAATGATTGTCTCCTGCATTAAATGTTCTCAGTCAAAACAAAAACCTAAAAAAAAAGCGCAAAGAATGTGACTGAAAGTATATTCTAATTAAAAAAAAAAAAAAAAAAAAAATTGTTCACCTACACATTTTAGTGTTACTTAAGGTGTTTGACAGCCACAAAATGTTTTGTTTGTCTGGAGGGAGGTGAGAGAAAGGGGAGGGGTAGAACAAATTTAGAGTGATTACATAAACCAGAGTCTCTGTACTATACGATCAGTATAGTTCTGTGTCATAGTATTTCAAGTGATCAAGTGCTACATAAAGAAATTAAAAATAATTACCTTTTACTGACATTTGGATATCCTAAGTGACCAATGAGTGAATATGCTTAAAAAGGAAACAATTAAAAACAAGTTTATATAATGTTATGTGGTCATATTTAAATATGAAATTCTAACTACAATGACACAGAAGTATACAGACCATAAAGCACAATCATTCCATGTTTTATATGTAATTACTGGATAAAAAAAAAACAAAAACAAAAAAAAACAAAACCCCACCTCCAGCCAAGATCTGGTCTGTTGGTGTTCAAAAAGATTGTTTATCTAACCAACAGTTTGTATAGTATTATCAAAGTTAGCCATGTATTCCATTAATGTATAATTTACATAAATTGTGTGGGTTACAGAAAGTTTGAATTACCCTGTGATGTTTTAAGAACTGAAGAAAAAAAAAAGAAAATGAAAAAAAGTGAAATAAAAAAAAAAATTTAAAAAGTGGAAAAAAAAAAAACCACAACAAACCTGATGAAACAATGTAAACAAATGTTTGAGGAAAAACTGGAAATTTAGAAAAAAAAAAAAAACAAACTGCTTGTTCACTTAAAGTACTGCAAGACTGGTCATTTCAAAACCAGTTACAAAATTGTAGCTAAAGTAGTCAATCTGTGACTATAGCAGAGTAGGTATTTATTCTAAACTTTGGCACACATGGTGTTTAGTTTTCAAGTAACAAAAATGTTGCAATTAAATGCACAAGTCATTGTAGGGCCAAATGTCTAGTTGGAAATTATTCTTTGTACACCGAATACAACATATTTTGTCTTTACTGTGTCTTCAGGGAAGACAAGTGCATCAGAATAAGACCTTGAAGACGTGTATTAAAGGTTATGGAATCAAAGCGGTTTTGTGGGACTTCTGTTATAAAACCCCACTTGTAACAGATACTCCTGCTAAAAGGATGTAGATTCTTGATTGTGCTCTAAAATGTAAAGGGCACCTTAAGCAGATTATTAACACTTGCTTTTAAAGCATTTTAGAACAAAAATGAACAAGCTGTATTCACTACAATATGTGCTTGCATTGGTCATTTTTTCCACAAAGAAATAGAAAAAATATATATATTTGTGTGCCAAGGCTTTGGTTTTACGGTCCTGTTATAAGTGCATTTTGTGATTCTGCATGTTAAACAAAATCCTCTGCTGGAGTATTGCATTTATTGGTAGAGTTGAAAGGTCAGAACATGAACAGTTCATCTCCATCTGTAGGACTTAACTCCACTTTGTCCCAGGTGGAAGGAGATAAGCATTCTTCACCCTGAAGGTCGTTTGCAGTTAATCCGATGTCAAGAACTTGTGGGTTGGTTCTGGACTCTGCAAGTCTGAAAATTGATCAAGGGTAAAGTCACTTTTATTTGGCATTTACATAGTACCTAAGCATGTAAGATCGGATTAAAAAAAAAAAAAAAATTATATATATAAAAAAATTATATTATATTTCATATCTCTCTCTCGGTTTGAAAAGCAGGCAATATCTGGCACCCAAGCTCTTGTGCAGCGATTTATTTTCCGAAAGGCTAAGAAGGCATTTACCTTGGACGGCAAAAAAATAAAATAAAATGCCTTTCTAGCCTCTTTTTAAGGTGCGCCCCCCCCAGAGCTGGATGGCTAGCCACATTTGAGCCATCACTCTGGCTCCCAACATCACTCTGCGGCACGCAAGCAGTGAGATCACAGCTCTCCCACTACCAGCTTAGCACATCTGCCCAGCTTCCAGCTGAGCACCCCAGGGTAATGTAACACATACACACATACACACATCAGTTTCTGGAATTTATTAGATTACCATATCTGTTTCCACATATCTTGTGTTTACAAAGAAGACAATTGTCCAATTCAGAGAAGAAAAAATAAAAACATTTAATGAAAACCACCACACCCCAAAATAGATATTCCAATAGTTTTAAGATTAAATGTGAAGAAACGATAGATATATCTATATCATGAATTGAACATGCAACACCTGCTTCTGTGCAACAAGATACTCAGTGTTTTCATTCCATTTACCAAACCCTTAAGTGGACACTATAGTCACCAAAACAACCTTAGGTTAATGAAGTTTTGGTGTAGAGATCATGCCCCTGCTCAGTTATCTGCAACTGAGGAGCCAAGTCACACCTCCATGCAGCCTTCCTAAAACTTCCTGTAAAAATCTGATGTTTAAACCTCTTTTATTGCACGGTTTATTAACCTTGCAGGAGCCTCCTGTGAGTAATTAAAGTCTAATTTACAAAGGAGGAGAGAAAGTCTGAAGCAAGTTGCCATCTGATTGACAGCCTGCATGAAAAGGTTTAATTTCAGTTATAGCCAATGGAGGTGGTGTGTTTGGAGCTGCAGCAAACAGAAATAAGGGTCATTTAATGCCAAAATGGAATTGAGTAGTGAGACTGCAGAGGCATGATCTATACACCAACACTGCATCAATAAGCTAATGTTTTGGTGCTTAGAATAGGCCTTTTACTGTTGATATTTTACATTACTACAGAAGTAAAAAAACAGTAGTTAACTGAATAAACACCATCTGCATTTTTAGTAATCACTATATGCTACAATACGACAGTGATCACACACGTTGCAGTGAAGAAAAGACATTATGCAATACCCATTTGGGAATGAGCGCAATGCTTTATGTGCAAATATTGGGTTTACATTTATTAGTGGTGAGTTTATGGTCCATATTCATAGCTAGGAACAAAGCAGTGTCACTGAACTTTACAATTATTCTTGAAAGAGTGTGACCAATTATAGAAAGGTTTACTCCAAGCACTATGACCACTTCAGCCTGGAGTTTGCATGAGTAGTATATTTTGCTATGAACATTTTGTAAACGGTTTTATTTTATGTTGAGTAACCATTAAAGAGGTATTGCTACAGCAAGCCTGGTCAGTAGCTTGAGGCCAAGCAAGTTTTCTGTACCTATCAAGCAAAAATAAACACACAGAAGTTTTGGGTTCTAACACAAACAGACATGGTGTTTCGATACATAGAATCTTTGTGCCTACTGGATTCTAAAATTTACCTTGAAAATGCTTCATCCAGTCCATCATCCAATTCCTAGATAAGAGAATATAGGGGGAGAGGAGAGATCAGCATTAATATTAGGCAGATTTTAAATGTGCAGAAAAAAAAAAAAAATATTTCAAAGTATATGCATACACGTCCCAGCACTCGCTGCTCCCGGTGTTTTAATGCTCTGGTGCGGTCTCCAGCCAAACATTGTATACAATACCAGTAGAGCGCACTCAGGAGTCTTTCAAGGTAAATTTCATCTGTTTCTTTATTGAGCAATTACAAATTCACACAACGTTCCCTTTTGATGTGAACGTTGTGTGAATTTGTAATTGCTCAATAAAGAAACAGATGAAATTTATCTTGAAAGATACACACATACATACACACACTAGGGTAAGTGAAGATGTTAAATGCATACCCATACTATGTTATTGTTCTCTGTGCCAGCATTTTGTCTGAATAGCTCGTCAAAGTGATTGTCGCTGGCGTTTAACATTTCTAACGCTTTGGTTTGGTCTTCCATCTCAAGCAAGTTACCTGTAGCTGAAAGAAAGGTCAAATACCATGAAGCTTTCATTTGTAAAGAAAAGCAATAACACAGGAAACAAACTAGTGCCCTTTCTAGCCAAATAAAAAAAGTTTCTAGATATGAAGATCCAAATGTCTTTAAGACACAAATGCATGTCAGCGAAAGGTTTTTAAACGGTATTGCTGTGAAAGGTTTTTTTTTTATTAAAAAAAAAACACTTTTTAAAAAAAAAGTAACAGTAAAATTGTATTCCTTCCTCCACCCCCCCCCCCCCCCAAAAAAAAAAAAAAAAAAAAAAAAAAAGTGATCTTTATATACGTGCAGACAAGTCACATGAACAATTTTATAGCTTATATAGTATGCAAAATACCAAAGTTACACCATGCTAGACAACTCACCTGCTTTAAGACTGGTAATACTTGATGAACCATCTGATTGAGAACTACTAGCACCCTCACCATCTGAGCCAGCTTTCTCCCTCTTTTCTTTACCTAGGAAAGTAAAAATAAATTGAGAACTAGCTACTTTAAGCATCATTAAAAAAAAAAAAAATATATACTCAAAAGGTAAGTGGTGTACAGACATGACAAGCTTAAAAATTACAAAGTCTGGTAGGTGTTCATTTTATGCCATAAATAAAACAAGGTTAATGCTTTAGAGCAGGGGTGCCCAAAAACTTCCTTTCCCAGATGTAGAACTACAACTCCCTTGCATACCTTTGGAATGCTTTTAGAATGACAAAACATTCAAGCTGTAGTTTTAAAAACTAAGGCAGGCATAGGCACCACTAGGGGCAGTATATAGGAATCAAGTCATTTTCATTATATATTTTCTTTAGCCATGTGCTTCTGGCAGTGACATCAAAGGCCAGCCTACTTTAGGGAAGTTGCCTCCCAGACAGCATCCCACTGGGAATAAAAACCAAATGTAAGACTCTTTTGGACTGTGTAGAATGTAGACTACCATCAGCTGACTCCAAGGGCTGTGGCTTTTGTAAATTACAATTGTGGTTTTGTATTTTTCTGTAATCCATTATTACAGCTAGCATGTGTGTACCGGTTACTTGCTGTAATTAAGGTAAATTGACATTGTGCTGTTACAGCCGTTTGTTACTATAATTATATTAAAGTGACATTTTAATATTACAATGCTTTGTGTATTTCCTATCCACATTCAACCAGAATATCAAGAATTAAAGTTAGTTACTTCTTGTTTAATTCTATATTAAAATTATAATATTCGTTATATAAGCCAGTGCCACAACAACTGAGCAATTGGTCCTTAATTTCCAAGAGCCCAAAAATAGGTTGAGACACTGCTTACCAATTCAAATTGGCTGTATTACCAACAGACCAGCTCCCTGCTCACATTAAACAAGTTTTGTCTGTCAATCAGTTTAGACGTGGCACAAATAAAAAAAAAAAAAATATATATTTTTTAAAATGTCTGTCTTGGCATTTATACATGCCATAAAGTTTAGGAAGGAAGAGTATAAAGCCAACCGTCCTTGGCAAAATAAATAAAATGTAGGCTTTTTGCTATATACCTGTGCACTGGTTTTCTGTACCTATGACAGATGTGCAAAACAGTTAACTAGCTGAGGGGGAAGTGGCGATAAAAAAACAAAACCACACATGAAGTGTACTTACTGTCTCGTGATACTTGCCAAAATTCAAAAGCAACTTTAAAGGCTTGAGCCACAGTCAATGTAACCGCTTGCGCCTGAGGAGGCAGAGAGAAGAGAAAACTGAAACCGTACATTTGTCCATTACACCAAATACAGTCAATACTTCCACACAAAATAAATTGGGTAAGTGATATAGATCATAAACCCCATATGAGCATCCCCAAGATGCATTCAGAAAAAAAAAAAAATAAAAAAAAAATTGCCTACTTCTATTACAAAGAGTATATTTTAAAACAAACCAGCCAAAGCTCTCCAACTTTAGTGACACTACAGACACAACCTTAGCTTATTGAAGTTATTTTGGTGTAGATCATGCCACTGCAGTCTCATAGCAGTGGAGCAGTTAAAAATAAAAAAATAAAAAATAAATAAAAAATAAATAAAAAATAAATAAAAAATAAAAAATAAATAAAAAAAAGGTACATTATAGTCACCAGAACTACAACCTGTCCCTGCAAGTTTTTTTTTTTTTTTTTAAACCACACATCTTTTAGATAACGTTCACATCTGATTGAATATGAAACCTTTTTCATTCAGGCTGTGAGGTATTGCTAGGCCTGCATAGACAAATAAGTATCTTAACTCATAAATGGCAGAGTATTGAGCTGTGAGACTGCAGTGACATCTATACACCAAAACGAATTATGCCTATAGTGTCCCTTTAAGTACTTTGATTAATATTTGTACTGGCAGGACATCACCTTTTAATTCACCACAATAGTGCACAAGTGATAGAAATTATGGCTTATGGTAATTTTTGACACCATTACTCATAAGAAAAATAAATATAAAACATCACCTGAAGGGATTTCCAGGTTCCACATGACCCATTTTCAACACAAGATGCAGATATACAGATTGAGTGGAGCAAGAAAGTATTAAAGGATCACTATAGTGTCAGAAAAATAAACTTGTTTTCCTGACACTATAGCATCCTTAGGACCTCCCCCCACCCTCAGGATCCCTCTCCCTTGGCGCTGAAGGTGTTAAAAGCCCTTCAGCCACTTTATCCAGCGCCAGGCTCCCTCGGCACTGGTGACCTCTCCTCCCCCGCCGGCTCCCGAGTGGAGCGGAATGCGTGGCAAGAGCCACGCACAAACAGTCCATAGGAAAGCATTTCCCAAGGCTTTCCTATGGACGTGGATGCGAATTTTGCATGCAGCGTCGCAGAAGCGACTCTAGCGGCTGTCAGGAAGACAGCCACTAGAGGTTGGATTAACCCTGCAATGTAAACAGCAGTTTCTCTTAAACTGCTAAGTTTATAGCTGAAGGGTTAAAACCTGGGCGACCTGGCACCCAGACCACTTCATCGAGCTGAAGTGGTCTGGGTGCCTAGTGTACCTTTAAGTGATTAAAATTCTGATGGATGCCATGTTAATGATATAGATAAAAAAAAAAAAAAAAAGTTTGTGTGGGCTTCGTTTGCCATGCACTGCAGTCCATTCATTGAATGTATCTACACGGAAGATCATGCTTTAACACCTTTTATAAACTAGCTCTGAGGTTTCCCACTGCCCTCCTCTCTCCAGTTACTTTACACACATGATGCTCTATTTTTGAGCTTCTGCACACGCAGCTCTCACACTGCGGAGACTCTAATTTGAGGCTTTATACTGGCTTCTAGTATGGCGATGTTACTATTATTGCTCCTGTTACACAATTATATTCCTTTCCATTAACACTGCACTACAGTAGAATAGGACCTACAAGATCAGGATATACAAACCTCTTCCTGAGAGGATTGATGAAGAGGGGAAAAATACAGTGAACTGTTACAGTATCCTTACACTACACTGCGGTAGAGTGCCAACTATTTGTAGTGGTTTTTGACCTTTTTTACTAGCCTCCCTTACCCCCACTGTCATGTGATAATCTATTTTTGGCTTTATTCCCATACTGCACTAAAGCAGATGTTCTATTTTTGGCTGAATATGAACTGCCGAGACTTGTTCAGAAGTCATATTACTGTTGAATAACACTTTGATTCAAATTCCTGCAGGATAGCATGTTATTGTAAGTCTCTGAATGTTATACAATACACAACACTTCGACTTGAAAGACAACGTTAGATTCCCATGAGATATAAGGAATTTGTGTCCTGCAGACATCCACCAACATGGAGAGAAAAAAAATAAATAAAAAAAAAGAAAAAAAAAAAGTCACTTCTACAATGTGTAAAATTTCTATTGAAACCTGCAGACAAGTCATGTTCCTGGTTTGATTAGCTCAATGGAGCCATCCTACAGTGTCAGTAATTGCTGAAAGCACTTTACTGTCAAAGACTTTCGAATAAGCTGCACTGGGAAGTTTGGACAACCATAGATGGTCTGGGCAGCCTTGCAAAAATTTCTGACCAGATCTGCAGCTTTTGCAAATGTTTTAGATATATCCACCAATGAAAATGAAAAAAAAAAAAAAAAAAAAGGTTCTCATTGGTGGTCTACTAAACAGTGATATTTTATATTGGTCATGTAGTGTCCCTTGAGGTTTGGGTAATTTGGCAAGAACTGAAGAAGTTATAGGTGGTGAGGGGCCAGAAAAACAAATCAGTCAATTTTGTCTAGAAATATATTCTAATCAGAAACTGCCTGTATGGAACTGTGGGGGAACATTTACTACGGTGTTCTGAAGCGTCACAGTTAAAGTCTGCCGTTTTGAATTTAAATCACTTTAATACATACAAAGTATTGAGAATCCGTTATAAACTAGAAGGGCCAGGCAAAACCTGAGAAATCCACGGGCCTGTAAAGGTCAATAGATCATGGACAAGTCACATCTGGCAGGTTTTTTTTCCATGGGGCTCACTATTGATATTCACGGGTGCCTATAGTATACTTTTAAGCACCACATGTATTAAGTTCACTTGAAACCGTAGTCTAAAGATTTAGAGCTCGTTTGACAGCATAGAATGCAATGTTATCCAACAGTAACATATAGAAAAGCGTCCATTGACACAAGAGTCTGCTACTGTACACTTTACTATTACAATTATGACTAAGCAGCGCATCTCTAAACATTCAAACTAAGGTTTTCTGAACCATATGGTCTTTTGATGGGCTAGCCTTGAAAGATTAGAACTTTGGCATTATTACGTATGAAGCCTACACCTAACCTTGTAAATCTAATCTGGGAGACTATTAAAAAATGTGCTACTGCAGACCGTTTACTTACTAGCAAGTAAGGAAAAGTTTATTATCCAGTTATTTTCAATCCTGCATGTAACAATTCCCATCAAAAGAAAACCGTCAGCATGTTTACGTAATGATTATTCTTTTAATGTTGGCATTTCATGAAGAAATGGATACCATAAGCACTGGATCATTAAAGATTCTTATATAGTGTGTGGAATACCCTAGCAACGTCTCATTGTACAGTGTTAACCCGTTTGATATTATAAAGGGTGCCAAATTATATTTATTAATAACCAATAATGGAAATGCAGACAGATATCCGTGTTAAACAAACTGTATGTTAACAAATACCAAAATGAACTATGGAACATGTACAGATTAGATTTTTTAGCACCCCACAAAAATGTGAAGCCAGTTAAGACCAAAACTATTTCACCACCCAAGTGATTGGCACCAATGTTTGCGTTACAGATAGTGATTAGTACAACAGATTAACGTTACCATTTTCCGCTTCGTACATAGAAACGCGTGGCATTCCAATGTTTCATTCAGCTGGCTCTGAGCGATGTAAGCAAAGACCTTATCATGAATTTTGTCAGCAGCACAGTAAGATATCCTACAATAAAGACATTTATATTGTCATACAGTCCATCTCACCTAATACCACAGGTTCAAAAAGTTCAACATCCAAATACAAACCACCGAGTATCCAGAAAGATCTGGCTAGATTAGTACACAATGTTCAAGCCCTGTTCAGTGGGATACTATACATTTTTATTTTTAAATTCCAAAATTAAAGCAGATCAATGCAGTAGTGGCTCAGTGGGATGGGACCTCAGAGAAACATGATTATGCATCTCACCCCAAGGGTTTCACCAAATCTAAATATTCACACAACCTGATAAACAGTGGCATGACAATCCAGCATTGGTCGTGAGCAGTGAACTCAAAAAAAAAAAAAGATTCAAGGATAAGGTATAATAAGCTCCTCCCACTAAGCTACTTCCTCTTTCTTTGCTGCTCCATCACGTTACTTTTGATGTTACTATTGTAACTTTATATTAATTGGTTTATTACTTTATTCCATGCTTTTATACACCTTTATTGTGGATTTTCTTTCGTAAGTTATTTCATTGTGGCACTGGGGAGGTTATCACGGGTCCTGGACACCCTAGGAGTCCATTCCAGCACTTTTCACAACTGGGTGGCTCCCTCTCCTTATTGTGCCCATTACACCCAACACACTTTACCATCGACTGCCGGGAATGCTCCAGTACATGGCCATGTTTGCGGCGCTGAACACTATACACTGAGGTTGTTTAATCGTATATTTGTTCGCACATTGAACGTGACTTAAACCCTTGCGTTTCCTATTCAGATTGGGTTAGACCACGTACGCAGTCTGAGAAATATTGGATATTTGTTGTACCAACTGCCCCATTCAGCATACTGAATGTTAAGGTTGGCGTTAACCTTTAGGGTGTGGGATGGCCAGTTAGGTAGAATCCCGGTTCGTGGTGAGGCCCCATAGTTCATGCATGCAATCTCCCTCTTTATCTGGGTGAGCCCCAGAGTGTCACACACTTTGCTTATTGAGAGACAGACGTGGCTTTAATAACGGCACTGTGTCCCCTAGCAGTCTGTACGCTTTATTTGCCTCACTATTTTTGTTGATATATTCTGCTATACTTGGGTGAGCCCCATAGTTATACATTATCTTATACAATGGAACATAGCATAGAAGACACCCAGCTCTCCAACGATTTGCAAGCCCTAATTAACACTGCTTTGACTGAGTTTGTGTAAAAGGCCTTGGCTAAAGCCCTACCCATGCGCCTAGACACTTCTAAGCAAACTACGAAACGCGCCCAATCCAACAAGGCAGCAGAAGAATCGGATGATTCATCCAAAGGCCAATCCCACCAGGCTAAATGCCACCGAAAGTGCAAAGAATCTAAGACAGGTCCCTCTAAAGGCAAAGCCTGCAGACGCGAGCATTGATCTCACCCAGCACCTTTGACTTTTCCACAAGATGTACCCCCATCCCTCTCCATTCTAGAGGAATGGCAAGACGACGCTTCCAACTCGGAAGACAAGTTGTAGAATTCCAATCCCTAGGTCAGTGAAATGTTTCTGGGTGAGGCCCAGACACTTCGGTTACCACCGGTCAACCTGAAGGAAATTTTCAGCAACACTAAAGGGCAACGCATGTTTGACCCGAGGAATATACACATCTGCGCTCCAGGGATTGGACACCCCACCCACCTAGGCCTCAAGGACGATTACCTCTCAGTTAATAGGAGTAGTCCCAGAAGACTGGAAGTTAGCAAGTGTTGTCCCCATTCACAAGAAAGGTAATAGGGAGGAGTCGGGCAACTATAGGCCAGTAAGCCTTACTTCAGTAGTGGGTAAAGTAATGGAAACCATGTTAAAAGGATAGGATTGCTGAACATCTAAAAATTATATGGGTTCACTTCAGGGAGATCATGCCAAATTAATCTTGATTTATTTTGATTGGGTGACTAAAATAATACATCAGGGTGGTGCAGTAGACATTGTTTACCTAGATTTCAGAAAGGCTTTTGACACTGTTGCACATAGAATGCTGATCAATAAACTGCAATCTTTGAGTTTGGATTCAAATATTGTTGAATGGGTAAGGCAGTGGCTGAGTGTTGTAGTCAGTGGAGTATATTTGAGGCATGGGCTTGCCCCCAGTGGGGTACCTCAGGGATCTGTACTTGAACCCATTCTCTTTAATTTTATTAGTGATGTTGCAGAAGGTCTTGATGGTAAGGTATGCCTTTTTGCTGATGACACTAAGATATGTAACAGGGTTGATGTTCCAGGAGGGATAAGCCACATGGCAAATGATTTAGGTAATCTAGAAAAATGGTCAGAGTTGTGACAACTGACATTTAATGTGGATAAGTGCAAGATAATGCATCACTTTTGTGAAACGGAGATCCATGGCAGTTCACCTGACTCCTGTTGGAGTGCATGGCGCGTTACAAAAATTCTGAAACCAGTGGTGGCCCACCTTAGTCAATGGAGAATTCGATGTATAATTTACTTAGACAACATTCTGCTCCTGGGTCAAGTCCATACACAACTGCTATCACAGAAAACAAACAGTGGAACTAGTGGAATCACTAGGCTTCATGGTCCAAAAAAAAAAAAATAATAATAATTCTGACCCCCTCTCAGTGTATCCAATTCCTAGGAGTCAAAATAGATGTTCAATCCTGTACACTACAACTACACTCTTAAAATATCAGCCAATGGAGATTTGCAAGATATGTCAGGACACTCTTTCCCCTCCAACTTCTTGCATGTGTCGTGGGACTTCTATCATCCTCGATTCAAGAGATTTTCCTGGGTCCATTGCATTATTAAGCCATGCAACGGTTGAAAGCACGCTACTTCAGGAAGAATCCTACGTATGACCAAGCGGTTCCAGTTACAGAGGAAGTGAACCAAGAACTCTCATGGTGGCTTGGAACGGTCGAGCCATATTTGGCACTCACCCGGATTTTGTGCCGAGTCGGACGCTAGCCGATTGGGCTGGGGAACCACAGATTGAGGAACATCCATGGGTGATTGGGGAGGACACAAGACCCCTTATGCAAATTGAGGTAGAGTTGCTGGCAGGGGCCCTTCGCATACACAGCCTGGCACAGGGAAGATCGAACTGCTGTATTCTACTCTGCATGAACAGTGTCTCTGCAGTCCACTATATCAACCATCTAGGAGGCACACGTTCTCAAACGTCGACAGAGCTTACGAAGGAGATATTCGATTATTGCCTCCCTCGTAACATGTTGATGGCAGAACACCTCTCGGGGAACACCAACTTAACAGGTTTCTTATTGTGCCACTGGAAAGCAGCATTTGGCAACTAGATCCCAACTATTTGCAAACCTAGACAGTCTCTGGGGACCTGTGGGGATAGACCTCTTTGCATCCTGCACCAACCATCACTATTCTACAGTTGGTTACCAGACAGTGCAGTAGGGATGCATTCCTACAAACATGGCCAACTCACGGAGCCTACGTCTTTCGCCTCCTCCCCCCAGGAACACAAAGGACATAAACCAATCAGAACAAACAGTCTGACATGCCCATGTACAGCACACAATCCCTCCACTCTGCTTAGGAGATAATGGAGTAAAGTCCTGTAAGTAACTCAATCTCCAGGCCAAAAAAAATAAAATAAATTATATAACCATTGTCACAAAGTTCAGAAAGTACCAGACAAACCAACATATCCCCTGACAGCCCCAATCTGGGTGAACAACATATCCAAAAATCACCCAGATTGGTTCTGGAATTTCCTGGGGTCCTAGTTTTGACCGACCACAAGCATGGCCTCTTGCCCAGAACAGTTCTAGGGAAATCAGTGCCAACAGTTGGTCAAGTTTGGTAGTTTTTACAGGTTTCACTGCAGGGCCCATAGTCTGGCAAGTAGGCTCCTCCAGGAGCTTGTGGCAAGCTAGGAGAGCAAGGAACACAACGTTCCAAGTCCCTGTATAGCCGCCGCACCCACCACCTCAAAACCTCCCCAAAAGGGGGGCAGTGGCTGCAGGGGTCACGCAGAGACCAACGTACCAGTATGAGACTCCAGCTGTCTCAGAGGGGCTTAACCCCAAATATAAACACAAAAACAAAGAAATATGCAGACAGTCTCAATTATATGAATGAAACTTACTGCATTGACTGGAAAAAAATATATCTATGTATAGCGCGATGTTCCAAATATAGAACCTGGCTATTAGAAATAATATGGTCAGAGACCCTAATTAAACAAAGTATATACAAGTGAACCTACAATCCTATGCCAGCCCAGGGTAGTATAGATCAAGAGGTAGTAAAAAAGATAACCTCACTCCCCCTTATAATTAAGCTTTATTGTGATCTGCTATAGGGATAGGAGTATACAGTAGCTAAATCTCTATAATCCATGCATCCTAGGAAGTATCCTGGTCACACTAGAAACATATTAAGAAAAACAGAGAGAGATAAGGACTGAAAATAGAAGTAAAAAAATCAGTCAAAACAGACTGATAATTAGCATTAATAAAGCCTCTCTCCCTGTAAAGCTAGCTAGATAGGCATAGGAAAGAAAAGAAGAAAACGATATAAAATAAAGTTAAATTAGATGGTGATCATGGTGCTCCAAACACCAGTGCAGAAAAAACGCCCAACGTACGTTTCGGTGCAGAAAGATGCACCTTCGTCAGGGGCCAACAGATAACTGAAGAGAAGCCTCTGACTATGGGTTATTCAGACGACATCATGTAAGGAAATATGGAGAACATGTATATTATGAGATCGCCCAATATGAATATATATTCAGCTCGCCCAGGTTATATCCATTTGTTTAGTACCAAACATGCCCAGCGGAAGGTGTGCTGGTCATGGGAAACCATTATGGACTTTCCAAGGAATTAAAGTTTGCATGTGTGATCTCTAAAACCACAAGAATTGGAGGAATAGGATGAGAACAATTCTAGGAGGTATTCTGTAAGTGGCACATTTTGAGAAGCCTATGGTGTTTCACACTTGTGCCCATCACAGGTCTGAGAGTGGACAATCAATTGCCAGATCCATCCAGGGGTCTGGCCACTTAAACAACCAGTAAGTCAGATTATACAATGGGAGTTCTTTTGGACACACAAAAAGTGTACATATATGCAAGGATTTCTTTTGTTTTCTCCTATTTTTGGACTGTTTTGCAACTTGTTAGCTGTTTCGGTATGTCATATTTCTGTATACAGCACTGTGAATCTTTGTCATTAAATGTTTACTTACATCAGCTCGTGTTTGTTCTCTAGGAGCTCACTCTCCTGAGGAAAGCATGTTACAAAAGGGTTAATTATATATGTCTGATCAGTAAAGTAATGTTTTAATATTATAATTCTACTGTGTATGGGGTAACCTAAGATGCCCGGATATAAAGTCTTAGTGGTGGCAGTAAATGGTGTACCAGGTTGTTTGTGTAGGAGGCATTGCAGGGGTTAATTTAGAGGTTGCTGGGACTAACCAGGGATCTGGTGTCATTAACCCTTTCACTTCCACACTCCCCACTGTCTCGAGCCTATAGCCCATGTTTGTGACAAGGATATTTTATATGACTTACCTGTAAATGGAAACATTTTCTATTAAACTGTTTGTTCCACTGTCATACAAAATAATTCCTCGAGGAGACACTTTAAGGATAACTTTCTGTAGTTTCTTCCCACTGGCTTTAGCCTTTGAAAGAGTTTAAAAAAAAAAAAAAAATGAATAAATTTAGACACAAAAGGCCACGTATCTCAGACATCAATGCCAAAAGAATGCATTTGACCGTCCATCAATATTTCGTCTTTTAAAAGGGACACTATGGACCACTGAATCATTACAACTTGCTGAAATGTTTTGGGTGGAGTTAACCCTGCAAGGTAATTATTGCAGTTTATGAAAAACTTCAATAATTACACTTGCAGGGTTAAGGGTAGTGGGAGTTGGCACCCGGACCACTCCAATGGGCAGAAGTGGTCTGGGTGCCTGGAGTGTCCCTTAACGACACATGTCATGATTCCCTTTTATTACAGAAGTTTGGTCCTTAAGGGGTTAAACACAAAATGAAAACCTTCAAGCATTTAGTTTAAATCGAAAAGACAGTGATTTGGGCAATTAGTTCATTTAAATGAAGTCTCCAACATTTTGCATCTACAGCTTCTCCACTGTGGACAGTCAACGTGTAGACAACATTGCATTTCTATTTTGACAGTGTCAGCAGGCTAGAGTTCATATAACAATGCTACTCCGTTTAGATGGCTGCAGATAAAGTCTGACACTTCTGGTTGAATACAGATAAAGTTGTGCAAGAAACAAACACCGCGAAGAAAAATAAATAAAATCCCTGAGGAGTGCTCCATTTATTTCTTACTTATATATGCGCTGGAGACACCGGGGAATTTTTTTTAAATTTTTTTTATGGTGAGTGCCAGAGCTTTGAATATATATCACACATCTGTCAATGTCCTTAATGTAGAGGGGAGAAAAAAAAAAAAAAAAAATAAACCACCCCCTCTCTAAGGTTTTACAGAAATGTACACACAAACTTACTGTTGCAACTATCCTTTTTACTGCAGCTGCACATAATTCTTCTCCTTTGGGTTGTTCAACTAGAGTCATGCCCAGATATTTGAGATGAAATAGCATTCCTTCTAACAAGGTTTCTCTGGTATCGGTCCAATTTTCTGGTAGTTCTAACAAAATTAAGTTTCAAAGAATAGGTTTTATTAAGTAACAGAACTCCAACCTATTAAAGATGCATATTAACATTGTCAGTACTCCAAATAAAAGACACGTTTTAATTTGTAAATTCCACTACCATACAGTAAAAGTTTATATTGGCAAAGTGTGCCTGTAGACTAATTTGCAAGATATTTATTATCAGACAGGCAATAGCTCACTGAACAGTCAGTTGAGAGGCAGGCATGAGTAGGTGTATTGTTTTCCTTTGCCACTAGATGAAAGAATTTGAGAGCTGAAGAAACAGTGCAAGCATTTTTCGCTCATGGCCTCTCACTACAGTCATCTCACACAGCAAACCCAATCCTACCCTGTAGAAAAGTTCAGTTTCCTACCATTTACCTCAGCATTTCACAATGCTTTCTGTCACATTCTGCAAAAGTATTCATTTAGGGTGGTGACAAAATGAGCGTTGGGGGAATTTGGGGTGGGAGAGGGGGCAGGGAGGAGAAGAGAAATGTTGGTAGTTCAGAGAACAAGCCAGTTTTGAGTAGCTTCAGTAAGTTGCCCATTGTGTACTATACAGCTCTAGGACATTTAGTGCCCATAGCAGCAGTGTAGGAACAGCCTAGAGTCTGGACAATAGTACTGCCATCTAGTGGAGTGTATGCCATATACAACCGTTGTAAATCCATACTGGACACACCTGCCCCCATAACGTCAATATGCTCAAGCTGTTAAGGTGACAGGAGTTATATAGGCCACACACACACACACACACACACACACACTTTAAATCAAGAAGCCATTACCCCACATTAAAATTATATCCCTGAATATTACACTTTTGCTAGAATTCATCCAGTTGCTGTTTAAAACTCTGTATAGACTGATAAAACCACCTATTCAAGTAGAGAATTTTTACATCCTTATTCTTCTTACAGTAGAAAACCCCCTTCCTTTGCCTTAGACTTAATCTCCTTTCTTCCAGTCTAAGTGTGTGACTTTGCATTCTATATCTAGTCTATCAACTTAAAGATTGCGTAGCACTTCAAAGACTTAAGTGTATCACAAATTTCTTTTTTCGCGGAAGTGCTTGTGCATAAAAATGCCACTAAAGTGTGCTACACCAAATGCACACAAGGGTACACACACACAAAATTTTAAGGAGTCAGTGACACCATTAAAAAGTGTCAAGACATACTTTGTTAATATTCAGCAGTAATTGGAACTTCCACACACACACACACACACGTGCAATATGCAATTCAACCATCTAAATGCTGGTTTTATCACACTACAGGGAGTGCAGAATTATTAGGCAAATGAGTATTTTGACCACATCATCCTCTTTATGCATGTTGTCTTACTCCAAGCTGTATAGGCTCGAAAGCCTACTACCAATTAAGCATATTAGGTGATGTGCATCTCTGTAATGAGAAGAGGTGTGGTCTAATGACATCAACACCCTATATCAGGTGTGCATAATTATTAGGCAACTTCCTTTCCTTTGGCAAAATGGGTCAAAAGAAGGACTTGACAGGCTCAGAAAAGTCAAAAATAGTGAGATATCTTGCAGAGGGATGCAGCACTCTTAAAATTGCAAAGCTTCTGAAGCGTGATCATCGAACAATCAAGCGTTTCATTCAAAATAGTCAACAGGGTCGCAAGAAGCGTGTGGAAAAACCAAGGCGCAAAATAACTGCCCATGAACTGAGAAAAGTCAAGCGTGCAGCTGCCACGATGCCACTTGCCACCAGTTTGGCCATATTTCAGAGCTGCAACATCACTGGAGTGCCCAAAAGCACAAGGTGTGCAATACTCAGAGACATGGCCAAGGTAAGAAAGGCTGAAAGACGACCACCACTGAACAAGACACACAAGCTGAAACGTCAAGACTGGGCCAAGAAATATCTCAAGACTGATTTTTCTAAGGTTTTATGGACTGATGAAATGAGAGTGAGTCTTGATGGGCCAGATGGATGGGCCCGTGGCTGGATTGGTAAAGGGCAGAGAGCTCCAGTCCGACTCAGACGCCAGCAAGGTGGAGGTGGAGTACTGGTTTGGGCTGGTATCATCAAAGATGAGCTTGTGGGGCCTTTTCGGGTTGAGGATGGAGTCAAGCTCAACTCCCAGTCCTACTGCCAGTTCCTGGAAGACACCTTCTTCAAGCAGTGGTACAGGAAGAAGTCTGCATCCTTCAAGAAAAACATGATTTTCATGCAAACAAACACAAAGCTGTATTCCTGACACTATAGCTCCCACAGCCTCCCCACGCATTCCCCCACCCCGTGGTCAATAATGGGTTAAAAATAAAATATTCAAACACCTTTACTAACCTGATCTCAGCACCAAGGGACAGCGCATTAGATCTCCCCATAGAAAGCATTGAATCAATGCTTTTCTATAGCGAAAAACCTCACACTGGATGTCCTCATGCAGAGCGTGAGGCCGTCCAGTGTCAGATACCGGACCAAAGGTCCGTATGGAATCAGGAAGCGCCTCAAGTGGCTGTCTGGCAGACAGCCACTGGAGGCAGACTTAGAGCGGCTATGTAAACAGGGATACTGTACCCAGACCACTTCAATGAGCTGAAGTGGTCCGAGTGCCTATATGGTCCCTTTAACTTCCACTAATGAAAAACTCTGGCTGCAGACCTGACAGTAGGCACTGCAACAAGGATCTACTCACACTGTGATGGTTTAAAAATATAGAACATCAGAAGGACCTGAGCTACAATCCTAGGGGCAAAGGCCAAGTACTGCAACCTCCAAAAAAACTTCTGCTTTAAAAAAAACTCCACCAGCAGGATATCTGTCACCAGTTTCTTCATTGCAAGCATTACAGTGTGCATGCCTGTGGCTATCCCTTCTTTTGTTTCACTATATTAGAACCTTATCTGCAGTCAGGGCCGGACCATCCATAAGGTGGCACAAGCTGCCGCCTTAAGTCACAAAAATACAAATTCTCTGCCTCTGGCTGGGGACTTTGATTTTTGAACTAACCTTAATCTCCCTGCAGCCAGTGGAGTTGGCCGTCCTCTCCTGTCAGGAGGGCAGCGCGTGACTTCCTCTGCTCTTCTAGGACCGCTGGGGAGTCAGGGAGTAAAGGAAGTCATGCCCCCTCATCCTGATATCGTCAGGAGAGGCCTGCCAACTTCACTGACTGCAGATCATGTCCCAACGTAGGTCTCCGGGAGGAAGGGAGGAATACACTGTTTTCAGCTCATGTTCCTATTCCCCAGCCCCCACCTCCCCCTCACAGCCCTTTTCCCAAATTGTAGCCATCAACCTACTTCAGCCCCTCCCCGCCCGCATCTTTTCTTTACAAGGAACCAGGAAAACCATCCAACCAAGTGTTTCTCTAACAGAAGCATTTGATTGGTCCATGAGAGGGCACTGGTGACCACTCAGGTGTGTAAACTAGCACAGGGACTGGATTAAAAGCAATTTTATAGCACATTTTAATCTATTTTGTTTGTAAAATAAAATTGCAACCCAACATATGCAAGAAGGCCAAGCCCCGCCTCCTGGAACTACATGCACCAGAAAACAGATTAGTGCCTTCATCAGGAAGCTGAATCTCATCCGCTACATCTTAACCTGCCTAAATAAAGATTGAATTTAATTTGTTATCCTGCATATTCAAATTCAACACAGCAAGTAGTTCATGGGAGCTTACAGAGTTTGAGCAGACTTACTGCTCCACTTACACACGAAGAACACAAAAACCCAAACAAACTATGGGTACTAAAATGTAGTGTCAGGAAGCAGCACCTGTGGTAGTCTTCTCAAACTGAGAAATATAGGAGACAGGAGAGGACACTGCTATATAGTGTAGTATGTTAAATTGCCGATAGCGGTAAATAGAGAAAAATTTGCACTAAGTTTTCTGGAGCTTCTATTCAGCGCCCGGATGGTGCAATGCCGGTCTATGGATATGATGATAGTCCAGGTACACTCTCAGATGAGTCTTCCGGGTAAGTGTGTTCTTGTGTCAAAGTGCCAAAACCAGTATCCTCTGTATAGGAGAAAAAAAAAAAAAACCCACACACAATATAGTGCTCTCTGTATGGTCTGTAATAAAACAGACACTTTTTAAAAAGCCTTCTATATGCTAAAATATATAGTGCAAGAATATCCAAAATGGCAGCTGTCATATTCTCACTATATTTTAGCATATAACGCTTGTTTTTACTAGGGTCTGCTTCCCTTACCCTTTTTAGTCATTCCCAGGCTGCTATATCACAACTATTCATGCCTTCATTCTACTATTTACGCTTAGCTGGTGGCAGCTCTTCATTTCTTCAATTCTTTATTTTTATTGTGCAGATGATTACAATGTCTGCCATGCCACAACAGCAGAAACAGGCACAGGTATTTCAACATGGTAAAACAAATGTGTAGCATTAGAAAATCAGCACAATTTTTAAAAGGTAGTGTTAAACAAGAATACGTGCATTTTAGGTTACATTAAACTCGATTTAAGTATAGCATAGCATGCCTATTCTGGTACATATGCTTTCACTGAGCATTAAGATTAGGTTTATGCTAAACAGGCCATTCTAAGAACTTGACAGTTTTACATGGGCTGGTTGAGTTAGGTCAGCGCTTATAGTGCCTGCTAAGCAAATTAAAGGGGAACAATTGTTTCTTAGTAGGTTTAGAAGCTTAGGTGCAGGCAGGGAAATATCCTATGGTGATATTGCCCTATTTTTATTTTATTTTTTTCCATGAGTGAGTGACACAGGCTGGGCATCGAAATCAGTGAATTCAGTACATACTGGTAATGCATGTATTATAAAACTGCTGGAGTGAGGTCGGGGTAGGGAGTAGCAGAGCGATATGGACAAAACATTAAGTGCCAGCTGAATGTATTGTGCTCAGCTGCAGTACAAAGAGTCCCCATAGCCGCGGATCTTTACCCGATGCCACTTATGTGCTGAAGCAGATAGTCCATTCTGTGGCCCATTAGAGACTCTGGCTGGAGCGGGAGTGCTGCCTGGAAACCCATGCCTCTGTTGCCTGTCTTGGGTGTACCAAGCTTCTTTCTTCTGGCGAGGTTGGTCGGGTTTCTGCGCACGAATGCCGGTTAAAGGTGCTGGTGTGTTGGCAGGGTCCAGGTCTGTGGTGGAGCTGAAGAGTGCAGGCTTCTGCACCCGGTTGCTGACGGGTGGAGTGGGTGAGTACATCTGGGTGTGCATTTAGTTGCTGCATGGTGCTGTGGAGCCCTTCCATCTCTGGGGTTGCTGGTGAGCCGGTGCTCCGTTTCTAAATGCCTGAGTCTTAGTGGGGTCCCAGGCCTCTCCCGAGGCGCAGTGGGTGCCGTATCTTGCCCGCTTGGTTCTCCATTTGCTCTCTGTGTTCTTGAGCGTGTGTGGCTGACGCTTGCGGGTTAGTTTGTGGCCATGCAGGGCTGCAGCTCTGTGTTTCAGCCGGCACTCTGTTGTGCGTTGTGGAGTGCTTTGCCCGTTGGGCCTTCTCCAAACAGAGTCTTGGTCTGGCGCCAGTTAGCTTTATCTGGTTGGTGCTGGTCATTGGTGGCTGTTGAGGCCGGTGCCTAGCCTCCAACTTTGCCCAGAAGCGCTCGCAGACTTCAAACTTTGCCTGAAAGGCAGATGCCCAGTCCCTGGGGCTTTGTCTTTGTGCTGGGGTTTATGCCGTCCGCCATGTTGTTAAGCCTCATCCTCAGCTCAGGGAAATATTACTCGCTGTGTGTCACGGATGGTATCCACTTGTGCCTCTGGCTGTCACCTTTCTGTTGACGACCTTTTTGTGTCGGTAAGACATCTTTTGGTCAGTGAAATCCACTCTATACGTTTCAGGTTTAGAGAGCTGAGGAGATTTGCTTCCTCTCGGCCAGGCTCCGCCCCCCAGTGGCGGCTATCTTTGTGTCCCCTCTTAAAGCTATCCCATTCTTTTTAACTTTTATTTTACAAATAAAAAAGGTCTATTTTATTGTTATATTACGATTCTAAGTACGTATTTAATCTCATGTTTTTATTTTAATTTCTATAAAATTTTACCTGAATGTTTGGTCACATGATCTATGATGTCACTAATTAGAATGATGTCAGTAATTGCAATGCTACTTAAACAGGATAGGACCTGCGCGCTGTAACACTTTGAAAAAAACCTTGCTAACAGGTGAAATGCGTTTTATACAGCCTTTTGCTATATTGTTTTTTATTTTGTTTCCAATAAATATAGCGAATTAAAGCTATTTTGGAGCCTCCCAGCCTATCCTTTTAAACATCATGATTTTATCATAAAGAACTGGAGGACTCGCAAGTGATATCCTTGGTGGGGATTATTCCACCTACGCTTCCTATACTGAGCATTATTCCTTTTGCTCCCAGTTTGTGAGTATACCTCTTTTATCCCAGACCATACAGAGCACTAAATTGTGTTTTTATTTCTCCTCCTATACACAGAGGATACCTGTTTTGTCACAAGAACACCCTTACCCTGAAGACGCCTCTGAGAGCGTACCAGGACCATCATGATATCCATAGACTGGGACTGTACCGTCCAGGAGCATATCTGGAGCTGAATATAAGCGCCAGAAATTTATAAGTGCAAATTTTTCTATTTACCACTATCAGCAATTTAACATACTATTTAACATACTACACTATATCTGTGTCATCTCCCCCCTATATTTCCCAGAGTTTGAGAAGCCTACCACTACCTTCTATATCTACTGTTCTGCCACAAGAGAAGAGACTCTGGTTCCAGCAACAGGGCAACAGGGGTGCTGTGTGTGGGAGGGGACAACACATATAATATAAATATAAACAAAAAATCTGTTTCCCCCTCCCTTCTTCTTACCTTTGGTGAAGGAGGGCGGGAGACAGCCATCCCTGGTGGTCCGGTGGTGGTAAGTACTGTATGTGTAGGAAGCAGCTCTCCTGTCCTCCCACGCGATGTGGAGTGTTGCCATGGTAATGCACAGCAACATGCCACACAGATTGCTCGCAGGAGGACAGGAGAGCGGCTTCCTCGATCCCTCCCCCTGCCCTTCAGCCACAGAAGCAGAGTAGATGCCTGCCGTTTTGGGCAGGCGCCTACTCTGCATTGATGCTGAAAGCCAGCGGCTCCCTCCTCAGGCGACCTATAGCCGCGTGCCCAGAGGGCCCGGTGTGCCACAGGTTCGCCACCACTGTTATATGCCATGAACACTGCAAAGTATGCAAGTTTGTTAACCCACAGTGCACACAGCACTGAGCTCGCTCATATGGAATTTCTTCCTTGATGACAACGCATCACAAGAATTTCAAACCCCCCAAATTTGTTTGCAAAATAAAATTTAAATAAAATAAATTTCCTCTGCTGCTTTACTTAATCCCAGTAAATGCTGCAAGAGCTTTACTACAGTGTTGAGGGAACAAAGAACTGTCACTTTTCTAAATGTGACAGTTCCACTTTAAGTGCTTCTGAGACCTGTGAAAGGGGTAACAAATAGCCCTGCCTCATTAGCTGAGAGAAGTGTTCACACAAATTATAGATGATATAAGTGTTATAGGTGGCGCTAAAGGAAAAAAATTCCAATAACTGGAGCATCTCTGACCAAAAGTTTTAGTAGAGATAGTGTAGATTTTTTAGATCTTACTATTTTTATTTATATAAAAAAAAAAATAAAAAAAAAAAAGTGTTTTAATGACCAAAATTTTTTTTTTTTAAACAAGTCGATGTAAATAGTTTTATTGAATTGGAGAGTTGTCACCATCGGCCTTGGCTAGACAATATACCCAAGGGCCAAATTTTTAAGGATGCGTAGAAACTGTACCAATCAAAAAGACTATTTTGTTCAAGCTACTGTTCTTAAAAACCAATTAGTTCAAAAGGGATATGAAGAAGAGGCCCTACAAGATAATATAAATAAAGTGGCTAAAATAGATAGGTCTCTTCTTTTACAATATAAGAACAAAGAGAATTGTGATCGCCATAAGGAGCAGATCCCTTTGATTTTTTACTTTTCTAGCAATATTGGAGCGGTAAAGAAAATTAATTAAAAAACTGGCATATCTTGCAACAAGAAGAAGATATACACCAGTTTATAGGTACCAAACCCAACTTTATTTTTAGGGGAGCTCAGAATCTTAAACAGATCCTAACTACAAGTTTTTTTAAACTGATTGGACACGAGAACAGAAGGGCTTTTATTACTGTGGAATGCATGTTGCAGTACAATAAGAAAATTGATAATTTCTCCTCTATAAATACGAAAAAAATAAAATAAAAAAAAAGCTATTAAATCTTTTATTTCATGTCATTCCTCCAATGTTATCCATCTTTTAGAATGCACTTGTGGTTTTCAATATGTGGGTAAGACTGACAACTAAGAATTAGTGAACACTTGAGAAATATAAATAGAAGTTTTCCCAACCACAGTGTGTCTAAACATTTCCACGACCATCACAACTCAGATTCTAAATATCTGATCTTTTGTGGAATTGAGAAAAGAGAAATTGGAGAGGGGGAGATACAGCCAAGACTCTTAGCATGAAAGAATCCAAATGGATCTTTGATTTGTGCACTTTAACTCCGAAAAGGTCTTAATATTGATTTTGAGATTAATATTTTATTAAAACATTTTTTTTGCATATATGGGACTTTTTTTTAAAATTCTGTATTTTTTTTAAATGATAAAGTCAGGCATAGTACACTGTGATGGCTTGTTAAGAGTGTGATAGTGTGCAGGCGAGTGATACTGCCTCTTGTTCGGAAAGCGCTGAACTGTAACAGGTTAGGTATATATACACAAGAGCCACAGCGCCTAAGTTTAGTGCCATAATTTACAATCTCAAGGTAGGTTAATAACCGGCTGAAACAGGCATGTCTGCTGTGATATCAGGTGCTAGATTAGTGAGCAAAGGAGGCTAACATGTAGGTAACATGCGCTTCCAGGCTCAGGTGCTATAACTAAACATATGCGTAGAGAGGCTTTGTGTGCATTTTTCAAGTTAGGTGAGCTAAGCCTGGGTCTGGGTTTCTGGATCTCCAGTGTGGCGGCTAGAGGCGTTATAGGGGCTTACATATATTAAGGCTCATTAACCCCGGATTGGGGGGGAAGGGGGAGGGTTTTGCAGTGAAGGTATGTGCCACTTGTGTCTATGGCCTTAAGATGTCACCTGGGTGCCCTGTAGGTTGTGCCAGGTTGAAGGGTCTGTGAGGTCGGAGTGTCGTGCGGTCTCTGTGTATTAAGTGGTAAGTATTTTTGAGCTGCCGCGGTCTGCAGACTAGATGGCTAGCCTATAACATGGCATTAGGTACAAAAAGAAAATTACATCGAAATGTATATCAGGCATACAAGTTATACATGAAATTGTTTACAAATGGGGGAGGACATTGCATAAGTCAGCGTGATATAAATCCAGCTGGTGCCTTTACTAGTTCCTTGAGATGGATAGTTTTTTTCCCCCACATTAAGAACCGGTGGGTGCACAGTGCTGCTTCGTTCTTGGGCTGCCTGTCCCGATGGGGTTAATGGTGCTATGTTGGCGACATCCCACCGGTGTGGCGTTCTCGTCTTTGCACCTGTCATAGGGCGAATGCCCAGTGCTTGTAAAAATTGTGGTGCTTCCGCCGGTGTTGTCAGTCGGTGGCTTTGCCTTTCTTGTGTGGCAATTAGCGTTTGGGGGTAGCCCCATTTGTATTATATGTCTGCTGCCCTCAGTCGTGTTGTGGCGTGCATCCCTGAAAGAAACCACTGCAGTGTCTGGCGGCTCAAGTCTTGGTAAAAGTATAAGGCAAAGTCCTCGAAAGCATACGGGGTCTGGCCCCTGAGAGCACGGAGGAATCAGTCTTTATCTGAGCAGGATTTGAAGCTCATTATGACATCCCTTGCGGAGTCTGGGGCATTGCGTGGGCGCCCCGGTATGCGGAATAAGCTGTCCAGGGTCAGTCCTTTGGCCTGTTTAGAGGGAAGGGCAGCCTGTAGCAGCCTCTTTATGAGGAGCGGCAGTTCGTCTGCTGTCACAGTGTCTGGGATCCCCCTCACCTTGATATTTCTCTGTCTCGCCATATCTTCAAGCTGCCCCATTCGGGCGCTTAGTTGTGAGCATGTGGTTGCTAGCTCCTGCGTTTGCCATGCTGGGCTCTCAAGTCCTGGACTGCTTCTTCCGTGGCTCGCATGCGGCCTGTAAGTGTGCTCAGCTCCATCTTGAGGCCTGCTAGTTCAGCTGTGAAGAAGGCCTTAAGGCCAGTTACCATGCCTGATAGGTCGGCCTTAGTGGCTAGTGGTGGTTCTGACTGCCTTGGTGGTGCAGTTTGTTGCTTCCGTTGGGGTGTCGGCATGTCGCTCAGGTAATCATCCTCTGAGGCAGAGGGAGACTCCATCCCCATGGTTTGGAAGGCGTCCGCCATTTTGGGCCTGCATGCCTGGGACCAGAGTTGCCCGATATCGTGGGTATGTCCCGCGGATGACACTCGGGGTTTCCGTGAGTGTTTCCCCATAGTGTGCCGACTCTTCCTCAGCCTTTCCCCAGTTTGTGGAGGTGGTTTTTGAGGGTTCTTTGGCCGTTTTGCCGTGGTAATGTCGGAGCTCGGGTTTCATGCGACTTGTCTGCTTGGCAGCTAGTTCCGCCCCCCATATGGGACTTTTAAAGGAATTTAAATTAAAAAAATATATATAAAAGTTTTATATATGTCGGCGTATATTATAACATATTTTAGTTATATTAATGATAATTTTTTACATTATTTTTTAAAGTTTTTACAAGGATTTATCTAACTATAATTTCTTTATTATAAAAAATATATATTGGTCTCTAAATGTGTATCCTCTTTGGGATTTTCTCTTGGTGAGGTATCTTTTTTGAATGTTATTATGGGTACTTCGCTTTATTGCACACCTTCTTGCACTTTTAGTTGTTCATTCAATTGGGTATTGATATTTTTATGTAATCATAATTGTTAAATTTCTTCTCTCTTTTTTCTATATGTACATGATATGGGACTTTGTGTGCCGTGCTCTAAAATGGCACCTTTTGCCTCTGTTGGATCATGAGAGACTGGGATATATGGACAACTACAAGTAAGGGTGGAAGTTTGGGACATTTCTTCAATGATTCAGCGAAACCGGAAGTGACACGACGGATCAAAGATCACGTGACCAGAAGTGACACGAAGAACTGTATGCGGCGGTTTTATATACATTTCCCGAACAGCACAGACCTCAACAGGCCACTTTCTTGCCTTTGCTGCCTGTGCTAAGTAGGCACAGCATGTATGGAAGATGTTTATGTATATTTCTTCTTTTTTCGTTATGTGGAATATCTTTTTATGGGATACCAAGATGGCACCCTAATTATGTCCGGAAACCGGAATTGCGGCCATATTGGAGGTGGCAGTGCACATACGGTTATGACCAAATAAGGAAAGGGGTGGAAACTGTTTAACACAGGTGTAATCAATTATGTTTTATCATTGTATCCTTTATAAACTGTTTGTGTTCACTTTTATGTTGACCAGCACCTGAGGAAGACCACATTTTGGTGGTTGAAACTTGTTGTGCCTGCTTTTATCTTATTTATACTAAGAAATAAATACTTTTATATTTCTTTTGGTTCCTGACTATCTAATTTTATGAGACGTAGTATTTCATCCAAGGGAAGAATCTTTGTCTACTCCAAACCCCTGGTTTCAGAGAGTCCAGAGAATTTATCCGAAAGAAAAGTTTCATCTATGTCCATGAATGAGACATATATGCTGCATAAGTTCTGAGCCAACTTTTAAATCGGCTCAAAAAATTGTGAGTGGTTTCAGCTCTTCTACATTCACTGCTATTATATCTTATACAGAATACACTATGTTTTGTTGTCTTATTATGTATTTATAGGTAAATACATATTAGTATATACCAGGATTATTTACTTTTGGTTACCACGATTGTATACATTACAGGTAACAATATTCTGTTTTTTTTTTTTTTTTATGTGTGCGCTTTTACCTTTCATCCTTTTATTGTGACACAAATTATAGATGCCTCCCTTTCAATACTGGGACAAACATAGCAAGGTGCACAAAAAACCATCCCTGAATAAATGAACACAATGAAGACAACAAATGTCAATTGTTCATGGTAAATAAAGATTCAGTTTCTGCTGAGACCTAGTAGAACAAAGACCCTTTAATCTACTCACATAATACATATAGCTGTGGGATGCTGCAATGCATTAAAAAAATAAAAAAATAAATTTAAAAAAAAAAGCCTGTATGTAGATATTCATACATTAAAGCATGGTACAATTTTGCAGAAATCGGATTTAAAATCAGCAGTTATAAGAAGAGACTCACTGGGATCAGAAACAGCTTTGGACGTCCACGCGTTTGATAATTGCACTGGGCGCTTATCAGAATTACTCTTCACAGGGAAACATTAAGAGTTATTACGTGAACAATTAGATCAGTGCCCCAATTACAATCTTAGCTATTGTTGGGGTAGAGTCAGTCAGTAGCAGTTGGTGCCAATGCATAAATTTATATATATATACCAGAAAGCTTAATTACAAATGCTACGTAGGATTTACATGGTTTATTTGGGGTTTTAAAGTACTGCATAGATTTAAATGTTGCACAGTTAAACACTATTCAGGCAGATTTTAGTTTTGATTGTAAATTCAAAATTATCTCCTAGACATTTACAATTCACATTGACGTTGAATGTAAATAACACAGTTTGGGTTATACATAACACAGAAAAAAAAAAAAAACCACACATTTAAATCTATGGTTTCATCTTGACATTGGTCTGTCTCCAATCCTGCTTTGATAGACTAAAGAACAACTTGCTGTATTGTTTATGGAGCCTTTAGTGCACTTCAACAAGACATACACGTCTATCTGAATTAGCCTGATTGAGTGATACATATGAACTTTTTATGCAGTGTTATAGGTCAGCCTGCAGGAAAGATTGTTTACAAAACTCATATTAATCTGAAGGTTCATGTGGAGACCTGTTCCTCAAAAAGGATCATGCAGCTGGGAACTTCAGATGCCTCATATCAAAATAAGTAGTGCAATGTTGCACCATTACATTGAATAGTTAACACTTGAAAATATTCTGCACTGACTTAAGAGAAAGTCAACACATGGCTGTGCATGTTAATGGAGCAAGCCAAGACCTTAGAATATGGGTTTACCCACTTATTAATTTGGTGAGAGACCCCCTCAGAAGCAAAGTCTGGTCATTAGCAGAAAAAAAAAAAAAAAGTTTATAGCATGGGGGAATAGTTAAAGTGGCACTGAGTTTGTTAGATCTGTATTTTTCCCCTACCAGTTGCTTTCAACTTTATGCAATGATTTAACAGCCTAACAGTCAGTCCACTACCACCATGTTCTACTTCACTTTCTGCCATTCAAAATGATGTAGTCTTCTGAAAAGACAAGTTCACTATAAAACGCAACACCAACAATCAAGGTAGGGGCTGAAAAGACCCCTCACTTTTCGGAACAAAGTTTACAGTTACCCCTAAAGTCTGAAAGTTTTATTAAATTACTCACTTTAAGCGACTGATGCATCTCATCAGGTAACACCAAATGAAACAGGAAGACAGAACAGTGTTCCATTTACATTGTTTACCTCTCTTAAACAATAGGCACATCGATTTATAGGAGTACACTTACGCCATGATTTTATACATAGCTTACAGCCATTTAAATCATTAAACACAGTCTCAGTGAACATTAAAACAAATTAACCAATCAGGCGACCACCAATAGAAATGCAGTGTTTCTATTAACTAACATTTGTCAACAGGTTTAGCCTTTGTCATTTGATCTACACATACCAAAAATCATTCCAGAACCTCTCCCTCCGGCTCTCAGAGGATGCAGTTTCATGTACAACAAGTACTAGAGAACCAGTAAGCGCTTTTCAACATTAAAACCGACACCAACTTTTACATACGGGCGTTTATATACGGAGTGTGGCAACTTGGATTAAAACAAGCCAGTTCATTCTCTTTTTACGAAACCTTCTAAGAGGTCATCTTACAAACTGGTCATCAATCTGCAATTAATTTAGAGAGAGTTTTATTTACAACTGTAGCACATACCAGGTCATCGATCCCTGATGGGAATAATAAATACACGTTTACTGAGCCCAGTGGCTACCAGAAAACACACAAGACATTTTAACTCTATACCACAGCAACCAAACAGTTAACCAATCCAGTTCGGGGGGGTCTAGGGAGACCGAGAGAGAAAGGGCTAGTTAGCACCCATACGCACACGCAGAGTAAACATTACAGGAATGTGTTCAATAAGGCAAAGTATTACTCATTCCCTCCCCCCCGCCTTCCCTTTAAATCTCCAGCTCTGTTACTCGCCCTGACTTACTCTTGTGCTTGCCCGATCCCCATGACTGCTTGGCTAGGCTAGGGCTCCTGATGATCGCCCTTCCTGCAGACTTTAATGCATCCATCGTGTTGTAAGGCAGCAGTCACTGCCAGGCACCCCTGAGCCCTTACACCAACTTTCTAAGTTCAGCTAACTTTTCTCCCCTCCCTCAAACCCTGGCAGTGATGTCGATGAATGATCACGTCTGAAGCGAGGGAGGTGATATTTATGTAAATATGGTCATCTGCTCCTGGTTTAGCCGCACCCCCTGTACCTAATCCTCTGCTCCATGATCCCAATGCAATTAAAAGAACAGTCCTGCTCGAGGCACGCTGTAAAACAATCCGGAGAGCTAATATATATTTTGAAATTATTATTATTATTATTTTCAACTAATCCTAGGGTTGCATTAGGTTATTGTTAGGATTGCAGACAGTTGAAACCTACCATAAGGGGGAAATACTAAATCATCTTCTGTAATTGTATGACACTATCACTTTAATTAGTGGGACTTGTAAGAGTATGTTCTCTGCAGGGCTGCAATTATTTTACTGTGGCCCTGCCATCTAAAACATTTATAAACAGCATAGATGGTGAGCTATTATGCATCTAAGAAGTGTCATGTTGACTTTTAATGTATTCTTCTGGTACTTTACCTATTTGCAAGTTTTAATCCATTATTTGCACTAAAATATTAATTTGATCATTTTATAATGTATTGTGTTTGTTTGGTTTTTTTTTTTTGTTGGTTTTTTTTAGGGAGTGTGATACATTTTTCGTTTTTAATGTATAAAAGAGCATCACAAAAGTGTGTAATGTAATGTGTGGACATTTCTTTCTTATTATTATTTAGAATTACGTATTATTTATACATTGTATAAAAAAGGTGTCAGTTATTGCCTTTCACATTAGTTACTTTTAATTAAGTTTTGTAATTTCTGCAGTTGGTTTATATTAGGAAATGGCAGATTAATAAGAGCCTTTTTCTCAGTGATTTTCATTCAAAAATTTGGAATTCTACCATGGAAAAATATGAAATCACACAAACCAACTCAAATGTTATGTTACTGAATCAACTTAAATTAGTTAAAGGAACACTCCAGGCACCATACCCACTACAGTGAGCTATCTGAAGAAAAAAGGCACACATTTAAAATGCATGCATGACTTCACATGAGCAATGTTCCTATAATCTCATCCAAATTCTGCTCATATTCTATTTCTGGTATATTGGAAATTGGCACATGTCTAAATATAGACACTGTAATGAGATTTCCAGTATAGCTGGCACCACACATGCAGGGTAGCTGATATGATTCGGTATACTAAGCCCAAAAAGTGTATATATTCTCTGATGAAACCTAGAAAACTTTGTAATCCATTTTGAGAACCAAATCAAATGTGTAGTTTATTGCCATTTCTCTATGAAAAGCTATAGGGGGACTTACAGGTAGCTAGGTAGTACTGTGAGTAGCAGTGTTTTTTTTATTTTTTTTATTTTTTTTGTTAATCTTCACCCTTTTTATTTTCTCTTTTTTTTTTTTGGTGCAACTTGTCTGCGAAATATTGTTATTTGTATGCACTGTGACTATGTTTGTTCATAATAATTTGACACCAAGGACCTCCATCTGTTGCAGTGCTTCTTTTAAGTTGTGTTATGTTTGTTTCCTTGTTTTCTCATGACCTTGTGATAAAATGCATTGATATACCATTGTCATCATAGATATTGTTACCACTGAACAAGCGGATGTAACTCTTTATTGTCAATGCATGATCTTGGCTCTTGATCATATTAAAAATTTCTCAAGTGGCAGCGTGGCTAAGGAGTGCTGCTAGATGGATGTGCCTTGCTTAACCCCTTAATGACACATGACATGTGTGACATGTCATGATTCCCTTTTATTCCAGAAGTTTGGTCCTTAAGGGGTTAAAGGTCTGTCTGAGCAGCCAAATACAATGCAAATTTGAGATTTCTATGGGAAAAGCAAGTCTTATGCCTTGACTGGTGTGTGCAGATCTGTGTGAAATGTATTGACTAGTTTTCTATATAAACGCACACACACACACACACACATATACATGTAAATATTAATATTATACGTTTCTATATGTATATATACTGCATAAATATGTATGCATAGATTACAGGGCTGGCAAGGTTGGTGAGGGGGCACAAGTGTGGGAGAGCTGGCTGGCAAGTATGTTGTGGGCTGCACTCTCAAATCATTCTTCTGAAAATTAAAACAGTGGGAGGTGTGTTCTGATGTCTGCACAGTTCTGCCAGAATGAGGCAGCAGGCAGGAATTAGACACTGTAGGTTTGGGTATGGGCTGGTGCCCTGTGCTTTCAGTCTTCTATAGGCCTGAGTTCGCCCACTGGATTGTGGTATCTGAGGCTGACCAGGCTGCCAGACTGTGATGAGTTTGTATGATTTCCCTGGAGGTGGTTTCCTGTGTCCACAGTGTAAAATGAGACAGTGATCATGACATTCACAATACATGCCAGATGTCATGGGGGGCAATGGAGTGAGAAACAATTTGATGTCTGTGAATGTCCTGTCATACTGTGGAGGTCATACTGGTTGATGCTGCATAAATATATGATGGGACACATTGTAACAACAACAGCCCTCCCCTGTATATGTAATACTCCCAGGCATCACATAAATTAAGTAAAATTATAGAATTTTTAATTAAACTTTGCCCTTTTCACAGCCCACACACTTATGACTACACAAAAACATGTTCATTAAATAAAACACTGCATACTCTGACAAATACACAGACACAAATGCACTGTCAAAAACTGACTCATACACACATATTCACTAACACAGATACAAACTCACTGACCCATTCACACACTATTCACTCTCTAACACGCACAATGACACACACACACATACGCATAAACACATGGACTACAAATTCTTTAACACACACATTGGACAATCACATTACATATTTTCTTTACAAGTAGCTATATGAATAACTTCTTGAGCCGACACTGGGTCTGCAGCCCTTGTCTCCATCATGCACAGAAAGTTGGCCATCAGGATATGACGTCTTGTTGTATCCCAGCGACCTTCAGCTCTGTACATCACAAGGGATGAAAAGGTGATTCCACTCCATGTACTTCTCCTGCAAATATCTTTAAAAAAACAAACAAAACATTTACATCCTCCAACCATCCCCCGCTACAGTGGCCCATCTGGACATATCCCACTATTTATTAGAGGACCTCACTGCCACTTTACTCTATACCTATCCAATAAGCCTGGTTTTATAGATTTTTAGTCTTTTGTTTACAGAGAGCTGAGTACCACATCGCCTATCTGAAGTTTATAGAATGGTTTTGCTTATTCTTCGTTGCTTGACCTAATTGTAATTTCACAAACACCGTGCACAAATAAATTTTTACCTACGTTAAAAATTAGGTTGCTGAACAAGGTTTCTTAATATTTTATATATTTTTAACAAACATACCAAAGGATTAAAAATACACATTGACGGGGCGTGTCCTGGCGGTGAGAATGAGCGGACGCATGTGCTGAGCGCTCCGCTCCGACGGAACCCACAAAAGAGAAATTTGGCGACAAAGCCGTGAAAATAAGGGGCAAAATACAACCCTATCGAGAATGTCTCACGCTAAAAGCAAAAGGCAAGCAGACAAGGCAGAGAAAAGTGCCTTTTTCACATCTCGGACGCCGCAGGGGAAACAAGCTTCAATACAGGAAGAAGCCCAAGATGGCGCAGAGGAAACGGAGGAAAGACACCGCGCGCACCAGGATAGAGAGGCAACTCTCACAAAGGAGCTGATGTGGACAATGTTAGAAGAAATATCGGGATGAATAGAGAACAGCCTCAAAGTAACTATCGGAGAATTACACAAAGACATACGAGAAGTGGAGGCGAGGACGGCGGGAACTGAAACTAAAATGGCGGAACTGTCGGGGGCCCAGAGAGGAATGGAGGAGGAGATTGCAGGGCTCCATAGCCAAAAACACATGTATTAGATAAAGACAGGGGACATGGAAGACAGGGTCCGCCGCAACAACTTGCGCACCTGCGGTGTGGGGGAGGAGATAGGACCAGCAGAGCTGGCAACTCACCTATATGGCCTACTCAAAGCACTGGCACCTGATATCCCACAAGACCAGCTACTAATGGACCATTACCATAGAAAAGCAAGGCCAAGATTTCTACCCCAAGTCACTCCAAGAGACGTGCTTATAAAAATGCATTACTTTCATGTGAAAGAGGTAGTGCTTCAGACAAGCCGCGCAAGAAGACACTTCCAGAGCCATATGGAAGTGTGCTGGTGTTTGCGGACATATCGACATTCACATTAAAAAGGAGAAGAGAATTCAAGGAAGTTATGGAACTGCTTCGGAACAACAAAATACCATACCGCTAGGGGTACCCGATGAAGGTGTTGGTAACCAGAGGTGGAAAGATGACAGCAATAAGTTCACCAGAAGACGGATCCCGTTTGCTGCAAAGGTGGGGACTAACGGAGCAGAGCCAACGCCGAAGCCCGCACAGATCTAACAGCAACGCCATGGACGAGCGAAAGTCTAAAAACCCAACATGAAGGCCGGAGCCACATAGACTATGATCCAGAAAGACTCCTCCAAATGACTGTTGAAAGGAAGGTCTGGAGTGACCTCAAGGGTACCATATAAATGTTAAACCATGTTAAAAAGTTAAGTTACAGTTATATAATGCAACCCTCTGAAAATTTACCGAAACGTAAAAGCGACAAAAAAAATAATAATATAGCGTTATATAGGTTGCACCGTACAGAATGTAAAACCTTACCAAATGTCGCCACAACCAAGTTAAAAGCTGTTGAGTGGGTCAACTCGGGGAGTGCACCCCACCGGGAGGGAGCTAACACTTCCACCCCCACAGGTACCAAGTAGTACCTACGCCGTATAAGGCAGACCCATTTGTTTAATTTGTTTTACCTGTTGTCCCTGTTCTTACCTTACTACCCGACCCCCCTTGGTCTAGATGGGGCCAGACAGAGCACATCCCACCCCAAGTACACACAAGTTATTCATACAGCAGGCCACGCACAGTGGACCTATAAAAGTGTGAAGGTACCCCTCAAGACCAAACTACCCCTAACCCAGCGAGCGAGACATGCCTAAATCTTACCCTCTATTAGGGGAAGGTCGCTCGACTTGATGCTGC